TAGTATTGGTCATTTAACATGAATTTCGTACAAGAAGACTCAGTTTATACAAAATATATATTTGGAAGACATTCAACCAGCATGCTTCTCTGAAGAGTTAAAAACAATGTTTTCATTCTGGTTTCCATCAAAACCTGTACTTTGCAATTTAGAAAAAACGTTTCGGAAGATCTGCTTCTCTTTTTCATGCGCTTTCCTGATAGTTTCTTCACACGATTTCATGTTGCTAAGTCCCGCAGTATTATTGGGGTAGGACTTAACTAAACGCTTGAAAAAAACAAGAGCTTCTTCATGGTCTTTTTGTGCAATATAAGCTTGTCCAGCTCTGAAGAGAGCCTTTTCATTGTTTGCATCCATGACGAAAACCTTGTTACATTTTTCCAAGCACAAATCGGGCCTGTTTTGCTTTAGGTGTACCAAAGCCATGTTTAGGTTCACTGATATATTGATTAAAGTTAGCCTCTTATTTTCCTCAATTCCATAACCGGCAAGGTATTCGAGCTCCTCAAGAAGACTAGTGTAGATATCATTTGCAAGGTCATATTTCCCTTCCTGAAATATATCAAAACGAATGATCTTGCCTTTAGATAGACATTTGCTTTGTCTTTTATCATCTTAGCATAAGACATCTGCTCATCAAACGTTTTGAAAGACGACAAGTGCTTGAGCTAAAAAGAATGATTTTGAGATAATTATTCACCTTGTCCACTGACTTGAGGGTCACTTCATACGTTATCCTTGACGGAGATTCGTCACCAGAACGTGACAAGACTTTATCATTGATGCTGCGAGCCTTAATTGCGACGCGGGCAACCTGGTCAGCCTTCATTTTCCTAACGGCTAAATCCACCCCATGGGGCAAATTCGCAGTTGAATAATCGCCGACTACGTAGCTCACTTCTCGTCCCTCAGATAATGAATCGCCAACTATTGATTTGACGATAACAACCACATCGGAGCCTGCAGCTGGAATAATGTGACCACTGCCTTCGCGGACAGTTGACATTAAAATACTGCCATCCTGCTCCTGGCTGATATCCTTGCCTGAAAAGGACTAAGAGTAAAATATACTACTAACCCTTAAATTCGAACAACTCCACCTCGAATCTCCTAGACTCCCCATCCATGTAGCAATAAGCCGGTGTGGCAATTAATTCGCATATTTCGCCTATCTTCATTGTGGGAATACATACATCCCATGCTTTGATAACGTTTCCTGAATTTTGTTAGATACAAGATCAAACAAACCTTCCCCAACGGAAAACTCGAAGTAATCACCCCTATCCCGGCTTGAGTCAAATTTGACTTCATGTCGCTCCCCTCCGTAGTAGGTTCCAACATAGTGTACGACAGCAGTATCGCCTTTACAAGGGGGGAGAGTTGCGATTCCTTCCTTTATTATTTTTTTAAGAATCCCTCGGTCGTTCGCCTCAGACAAATCCGATAAATCACTAAGGTACTCTTGCAGCTCTGCCTCCGTAGGCATGGTGAGCGAAAAGATCCAGATGGTTCTGGGCGGGCGTTAACTGCCAGTCCGCATTAAAGGTACGATAAATAAATAAGCATATATGTACTTTAAGAAACAATGCATCACATTTTTAAATATTATTTTTGCCTAATAACACTTATTTATTTTATTATTATTAGTACGAAAACTTATATGAAACACTTAATTGCCTAAGTACGGATAGAAGATAATGTGTATGTAACATTTAGTTGTAAATAAATTTATTTATAATATAATGCAAGTAAGACAAAAGGGTAATATAAGTAAAGTGGACTACACCGAAACAACTGTGGAGCATTTGCTCGGTTGCATATTGACACAAGCCCATATATATACAAATATATATCGTTTACATAAAAATTAGTTGATTTATAAAAAAGTGCATTTAAAAAAAGGATACCAGACTAACGAAAGTAAATTAGTAGGGTGTGATTCTTTTGCTATGCGAAGAAAAGTCTTTTTACAGAATATTTTGACCTACAATTATTACGTTAATTTAAAGGGTGCAACGATAGTATTAAGTTATATGAGATGTATTCACCCAATTTCGTTTAAGGTGACGAAGGACTAGTAGAAGAATTTTCCTACAATGATATGAGTTGAGCTAAAGGTTCCATTAAATTTCACATAGCCTTGCTTGGTCAGAAGTATTTTGCCTCAACGCCCTTTTGAAACAGCCCTTGGGCAAGCCTCTTTCAGTCTCTGTTTTTTGTTATTGTAAAATCATCAACAATTAAGGAATTTTCGCTCATTAGATTGATTGATTTACTATAATGGTGCCAAACTCTGATTATATAGGCCATATTTATACCTAAAGCCTTTTTCAACAGAACCAAAAGATGTTGCCTTGGGAATCACTTCACCTCGCACGTGCAGCTCAACGGGGCAAGCTGAATCAAGGAAAAAATATGTAAAGTATAAAATACAAAATGATCATTTTATTTATATGAGCATAATTGTTTCAGTTTAATGCTTTGGAGTTTTATACATGTAGTATTTATCCTATTTAACTTTCCTGGCTGGCAGTTATAAGGGATTACATTCTTAATCATTCATGCAGGTTTGTGAGTCAATTTTTAGGGACAATATTTCAGACTTATCCCGTTCCAAAAATAGCAAGAGCCATTGAGCCATTGAGAAGTTGGCATTATTTACACAAGTATGGAAAAGAAATGAAAAATTTGAGCAATGGTAGTTATATATAATTGTTTTGCTCGTTTTATACTGTTATTAGGTGTATAATTAGAAATTTTATATGTGTTTCGCAAGACCTTCGAAACGTAACTTGAATTGATTGTTCTTAATTTGCA